CTACAGGCGAGGAAACTACATCGCAGAGATGTTAAGTAACTTGCTTGGGGTCATGTAGCTAGTAAGTATCTCAGTTGGAATTCAAGGCAAGACCTGTCTGTCCCCAAAGTCCGTTCTCTTTTCTTTGTGCCACACTGAGTGCCAGGGCAGGAGGAGAGACCCTCAGTTACTTGTTAGCAGGACACACCAGAGAAACGGGTTTGTTTCTGCACCCTGATCCGTGCCGCCCTTCCGTGTTGTTGTACAGATCCTCACATCAGCCATTCTCCCCTCACCTCTTATTCCTGGTTGAGGGTCTTGTTCAAGATTCAGAACCTCCCGCTAGGGCAGAATTTCTCCTATTGACATTAATAGGTAGTAAGAACTTAATTACACTTCCAAAACGGTAACCCATTTTAACGCAAGTTCTCCAAAGACGCCACCAACACCTAGTAGCTGTCTCCTGGGTTCCGACTCACGGCGACCCCACGTGTGTCAGAATAGAACTGTGGTCCGTTTTCAATGGCTGATGTTTTGGAAGTAGATCCCTAGCCTTCTCTTCCGAAGTGCCTCTGGGTGAACTCAAACCTCTAACCTATCTTTTAGGAGCTGAGTGCATTAACTGGGCCACCCAGTGACTTGGAACGTTACAAACAGGATAGCAGTCTGCTGTGGAATAAGGGAACTCTCTAATGCCCCTCAAAATGGCATTGCTCTGAATATACTGTTTTGTATAGTTCTGAATTTTGAAAACTTGTAAATGTTTTACATATTTAAAAATAAAATTAACAAGGATAGGGAAAACCTCCAAAATGGAGTACAAACTGCCATAAATGAACCATCTGTATTTCAGTGAATAAATATAAACACTCAGAAGGAAAAAAATGAATCAAATAAGTTTTGAACATAGGACTTTGACTATTTATCCTTAATATCCTGCAAAAACAAAAAACAAAAAAACCTTGAATTCTGTATAGTAGGTTATTATCTGTAGTGGTAGGGGTATAACCGTTGTGAAACTAACTTGTGTGCATTGTAGGATTGAACAAATGAGTAAATTCACAGATATTTGTGAGCCAGGGTTCTTATTGTGGGATGAGAGAAATCAAAGCACGGAATGGGAGAAGGCAATGAAGAAGTCTGTGGTGTTGGATTGGAATTAGAGGTATCAGTATGAACTCATCCTAGCCCTGTCTGGTAAAAGGGCAGAGAAGCACTGACACCCTAGCAGCAATGAGCACAACTAGTGCCCATATCTTGGTTTCAAAATATCGTTCCCACTAAAAGAAACCAGAACTCCTTAGAGAAATGGGTAATATCAGAGCTGGGGTAGGATGAGCCTGGAACATCTTGTGGGACAAGGTAAGGAAGTGCTCAAAAAATGACGGAGGCATGTCAGAAGAACTAGCTTGAAGGAACTCCCATCTGCCAAATCTGGGAAAATCTGAGCATTAAAATGAATAATGATAGTGATGAATTATAGTCCAGTGAATAAAAAAAGAATCCATAAGTCCATAATGAATAAAAAAAGAAAGAAGAGGAAGCTCTAGTTAGAGAAATAACCAGTTTGCAACCATCCCAGCAATATTGCTTCAGGAAGGTATCATTAATGGAGAAAGTTTGATGGGGAAAGGATATTTAAACAGTCTCAAATGATCTCTCCAGAGATTATTTACAAAGGGGAAGCTGGTGACTTTACAATGGAGAAATCTGGCAGACACCGCCGTAACTAAGTTAGCAAAGTTAATACCACCAGTCATGGAACGAACACGTACCTCCTGATGTGACTGAATGGAGGACATCATTACTTTTTTGTGCTGTTTCTAAAATGCATAGCCAGAATCCAGTGATGAGGATACAATTGAGAGACCTAAATTGAAGATTATTCTACAAAGTAATTGGGCTGTTAAAAAAAAACAAAAACCTTTGCCATCGGGTCCATTCCAACTCACAGCAACCCTATAGGACAGAGTAGAAGTGCCCCATAGGGTTTCCAAGGAGCAGCTGGTGGATTCGAGCTGCTGACCTTTTGTTTAGCAGCTGAGCTCTTAACCACTGCACCACCAGGGCACCAGTTGTGCTGTAGTCTTCAAATATTCCAATGTCATGAAAGACAAAAGGTAAGGAACTGTTCCAGAAAAGGAACTTCAGGAGACATGATGATTAAATGTAGTGCATAATCCTGGATTGGATTCCGGATTGGAAAAATAATTGCTCTAAGGACATTATTGGGATTGTTGTAAGGTGCTGTCTAGTAGGTTCAGACTCATAGTGCCCTATGTACCACAGAACGAAACACTGCCTGGTCCTGCGCCATCCTCACAATCATTGTTGTGCTTGCCCCAGCCCATTGATGCAGCCACTGTGTCAGTCCATCTTGTTACCGGGTGGAAACCCCAGGTTCTTACTTGGCATGACTCGTGTTGGCCAGTAAGCGAGAGACTGAGGTGAGAGAACAAAAAGACACCTTTGTTTCGTTTTACAAGGACATGGAGTCAGTTGGTGCAGGCAGGTTACTTTTAAAGGGTTTACAAGTAGGGAGTTCATACACGTTATGTCAGCAACATTCGTAACCATACTACCTAGGTGCAAGGGGGTTTACATACAACCGCCAAGCAAAAGCAGGACTCACGTGCAAAGCTGGGGTGGGGGAGCCCAGCAAAGGAAAAGATTTTGCATTACAACACTGTAGGGGAAGAAGCCAGGTAAAGAATACAACACTGTGGGGGTTCTGTCTCAATCTCATTGAAGGTCTTCCTCTTTTTCGCTGACCCTGTATCAAGCAGGATAGCCTTCTCCAGGCACTGGTCCCTCCTGATAACTCGTCCAAAGTGTGTGAGACAAAGTCTCGCCATCCTTGCTTCCAGTGAGCATTCTGGCTGTACTTCTTCCAAGACAGATTTGCTCGTTCTTCTGGAAGTCCATGGTATATTCAGTATTCTTTGCCAACACCCGAATCCAAAGGCATCTGTTCTTCTTTGTTCTTTCTTATTAATTGTCCACCTTTCTCATGCCTGTGAGGCAATGGAAAATACCATGGCTTGGGTTAGGCACACCTTAGTCCTTAAAGTGACATCTTTGCTTTTTAACACTTAATAGAGGTCTTTTGCAGCAGATTCACCTAATGCAATACGTCATTTGATTTCTTGACTGCTGCTTCCATGGGTGTTGGTTGTGGCTCCAAGTAAAATGAAATCCTTGACAACTTCAGTCTTTTCTCCATTTATCGTGATGTTGCTTATTGGTCCAGTTGTGAGGATTTTTGTTTTCTTTATGTTGAGATGTGATCCATACTGAAGGCTGTAGTCTTTGATCTTCATCAGGAAGTGCTTCAAGTCCTCTTCACTTTCAGCAGCAAGGTTGTGTCATCGGCGTAATGCAGGTTGTTAATGAGTCTTCCTCCAATCCTGATGCCCAGTTCTTCTTCATATAGTCCAGCTTCTCGGATTATTTGCTCAGCATACAGATTGAATAAGTATGGTGAAAGGATACAACCCTGACACACAACTTTCTTAACTTTAAACCGCATAGTATCCCCTTGTTTTGTTCGAACAACTGCTGTCTTAGTTATCTAGTGCTGCTATAACAGAAATACTACAAGTGGATGGCTTTAACAAAGAGAAATTTATTCTCTCCCAGTTTAGGAAGCTAAAATTGCGAATTCAGGGTGCCAGTTCCAGGGGAAGGTTTTCTCTTTCGGTCACGTATGGGAGAAAGTCCTTGTCATCAATCTTCCCCTGCTCTAGAAGCTTCTCAGCACAGGGACGCCGGGTCCAAAGGACGCGCACTGCTGGTTCTACTTTCTTGGTGGTGTGAGGTCCCCATGTCTCTCTGCTTGCTTTTCTCTCATATCTCGAAAGAGATTGATTTAATATACAACCTAATCTTGTAGATTGCATCCTGCCTCATTAACATAACTGCTGATAATCCCACCTCATTAACATCATAACTGTAGGATTTACAACACAGGGGAGAATCACATCAGATGACAAAATGGTGGACAATCACACAATACTGGGAATCATGGACTAGCCGTGATATTTTGGGGGGACACAATTCAATCCATGTCAAGTGCTTCTTGTCTAAGTACATGGGCGAGCGGGGGCCTAGGGAGGCTCTTGGAGACCTGATGGTGACCACGCAGGGCCAGCAGTGGTGGAGCCAAAGTTTTCATGTAGTCCCTGGGTGCAGCAGCCACATGGGTCCTGGGCCCAACCAGTGACTGTCCTGCATGCCTCTTCTGTATACAATAATAGTGTTCATACAACGTCCAGATCATGTAATATCCTATTTTACAGAGCATATTGTGGACGTTAAGGGACGTACACCTGTAAGTAAAATGGAATATTACTCAGCCATAAGAGAAATGAAGTCCTGATGCATGCCACAACATGGATGAAGCTAGAAAACATTTTGCTGACTGAAATAAGTCAGTTGCAAAAGGACAAATACTGTATGATCTCACTTTTATGAAATAAGCAAATATATAGAAACCAAAGGTTGTTAGTGGTTACCAGGGGTGGAGGGAGGGGGAAAGGAGGAGATTTTGCTTAGGAGGGCATTGAATTTGTTCATGGTGTTGGAGTAATTTGGAAAAGGATAGCAACAAAGGTTGCATGCCATGAAGAATGTAATCAATGTCACTGGACTGTACATGTGGAAATTGTTGAGTTGATGAAGGTTTTGATGTATATATTTTAACTGCAATAAACAAACAAACTGTATTCTTGGCAATGGAAAAAAATAATAAAGCTACTTTGTGTCCAGAAAAAGTTTGTTTTGAAAGATTCCACATAGGCTGCAGTATTTCTACTTCTCATCTCTCATTTTCTTCTGAACCCGTTCCAGACAGACTACCCCTCCTATTCCATGAAAAAGGAGCCCTGGTGGCACAGTGGTTAAGTGCTCAGCTGCTAACCGAAAGGTTGGAGGTTCGCATGTACCAGCTGCTCTGTGGGAGAGAGATGTGGCAGTCTGCCTCCACAGAGATTACGGCCTCGGAGACCGTCTGAGGCGGCTCTGCCCTGCCCTGCGGGGTTTTGCTCTGAGTTGGCGTGGACTCAACCGCAGCAGGTGTGGCTCTTTGGTTTTGTTTTTAATTTATCGTCTAGCTCGTCATACATGTTTCAGCTACAGAGATTTAACAGAATCTGTTCTAGAAAGTGAGGGCACTACTTTGGGAACACATAATCTCTAGGCTCTTATGTAGGATTTCTGATATTCTTGCCATAAGTAATAGTTAGCTATGGCTTAACTCCATTGTTTTCCCCTCCGATGTTTTGCTGTGAATTCCCCACCTGAACACCTTTACCCAGTGTGATGGCTAAGGCTGTGTGTTAACTTGGCTGGGCCATGATTCTCAGCGGTTTGGCAGTTAGGATGTAGTCTGGCAGTCGTACGATGATGTAATCACTTCCATGAAGAGATTTGATATAATGTGATCACCTCTATGATGGAATCTGCTGTGAGTAGCCGATCAGTTGAAAGGGAGTTTCCTTGGGCTTGTGGCCTGCATCGAGGATAAGTGGACATTCTGGCAAGGCTCAGGGGCTTTTGCTCGCTCTGGATCCTGCAGCTGGCTTCTGTTCATCTGACCTCCAGTTCTTGGGATTTGAGCTAGCATCTTACCTGTGGTCTTGCCTGCCAGTCTTGGGATTTGTCGATCTTCGCAGTGTGTGAGCGAGAGCCCTGCTCTCTGATCTGCCAATCTGGTGTTCTCCAGCCCCTGCGGCCGTGTGAATCAGGAGAAGCCTCTATCCTGACCCACAAACTTGGGAAATTCCAGCCTCTGCAACCACATGAGCCATTTCCTTAATATAAATCTTTCTGTGTATGGACTGGAAGAGATGCATACTTACGCCTGTTCCACAGAAAGGTGATCTTACTGAATGAGGAAATTATTGAACAATATCCTTAATATCACACGCAAGTAAGGTTTTGGTGAAGATCATTCAAAAGCACCTGCAGCACTACATCGACACAGAACTGCCAGAAATTCAAGTTGGATTCAGAAGAGGACGAGGAACCAGTGATACCATTCCTGATGTCAGATGGATCCTGGCTGAAAGCAGAGAATACCAGAAAGATGTTTTTTATTGACCGTGTTTTATTGACTATGCAGAGGCATTCAACTGTGCGAATCATAACTAATTATGGATGACATTGTGAAGAATGGGAATTCCAGAACGCTTAATTGTGTTCATGAGGAACCTGTACATAGATCAAGAGGCAGTTGTTCAAACAGAACAAGGGGATACTGCATGGTTTAAAGTCAGGAAATGCATGCGTCAGGGTTGTATCCTTTCACCATACTTATTAAATCTGTGTGCTGAGCAAATAACCCGAGAAGCTGGACTATATGAAGAACACTGCATCAGGATTGGAGAAGGAATCATTAACAACCTGCATTATGCTGATGATACAACCTTGCTTGCTGAAAGTGAAGAGGACTTGAAGCACTTACTGGTGAAGATCAAAGACCATAGCCTTCAGTATGGATTACAGCTCAACATAAAGAGAACAAAAATCCTCACAACTGGACTAATAAACAACATCATGATAAACGGAGAAAAGATTAACGTTGTCAAGCATTTCATTTTCCTTGGAGCCGCAGTCAACGTCCATGGAAGCAGCAGTCAAGAAATCAAATGACATATTGCATTAGGCAAATCTGCTGCAAAATACCTCTATAAAGTGTTAAAAAGCAAAGATGTCACTTTAAGGACTAAGGTGTGCCTGACCCAAGCCATGGTGTTTTCCATTGCCTCATAGGCATGAGAAAGCTGGACAACGAATAAGAAAGACCAAAGAAGAACTGATGCCTTAGAATTACGGTGTTGGCAAAGAATATTGAATATACCATTGACTGCCAAAAGAACAAACAAATCTGTCTTGGAAGATGTACAGCCAGAATACTCTCAGAAGCCAGGATGGCAAGACTTTGTCTCACATACTTTGGACATGTTATCAGGAAGGATCAGTCCCTGGAGAAGGACATCATGTGTGGTAAAGTAGAGGGTCAGCGAAAAAGAGAAAGACCCTCAATGAGGTGGATTGACACAGTGGCTGAAACAATGGGCTCAAATATAACAATGATTGTGAGGATGGCACAGGACTGGGCAGTGTTTCTTTCCGTTGTACATGGGGTGGCTGTGAGTCAGAAGTGACTCAATGGCACCTAACAACAACAACTGTATATATTTATATGCTTTACTGGTTTTGCCTCTCTAGAGAATCCAGCCTAAGATAGCACCTAACAACAAAAACAACAGTTTTTGTAGATGGATCACCACACCTTTCTTCGTGGTCTGTCTTGGTCTGGAAGCCTCGCTGAAACCTGTTCAGCATCATAGCAACGTGCAAGACGTCACTGACAGACGGTGGTGTGCCTGTGCATGTGGTGCCTTGGCCAAGAATCAAACTCAGGTCTCCCTCATGGAAGGGGGGATTTGACCACTCTACCACCAGTGTCCCCTAGAACTTAGTAGAAATGCAAATTGTCAGACTTGACCCCAGGCCTACAAAATCATAAATTGAGGTGAGGGGGTGTATGGTGGAGAAGGGCAGTGATGTGTATTTTAACAAGTCTACCAGGTAAAACATGGTTCTTGAGTATCTTATGTCCCAGCTACCTCCTTTACTTCTTTAAGAAAATTTACCTTTTACTCCTACTGCAGAGTTTTATCCGTACTTAATTTGAACTTAATTCTGCTCCTATGAGCCAAAGTGCTAACAACCTAGACCATATTGGTGCAATCAACTAATTTTAAAAATTCCATCTTTTCAAATCACTGATGGAAATATTAAATGAGAAATAGCTCTAAACCAACCACATTGAGCCTTTCTTTGAAAGAAATTCTATGGGACGAAAAAAATAATTTTTTCTTTCTTTTGCATACAGAGATAACTAATCAAAGAAGTTTCCTTTTGGAACTTTATGGACATTTAAAATTGTTTATGCTTTGCTGGATATATCAAATCTTAATCAGATCCCCAAAACTAGGGTGGTATTAAACAAAGAGAGTCATTTAGAATATAGTAATGATTATATCCAGTCTACTTATTGTTATTTAAATCATACCAATTCCTAAACTGCGTTGTCTTTCTAAAATGATACACATAATGCAATGCCTACCAAAACTTACAACATAGCTGGAGTGTCAGAGTTAAACCATTCCATTTCCTTAATTTGTTGTTTTAATTTTCTGAATGTTTCAAAATTGCCTTTTAACAAAGGAGTGAGTTCTAAAGCAGAAGTGTGATAATTACTTCTGGGCCAGGCTTTGTTAATCCTGACTCTGTAAATTCTGCCTTTATGGAGAGAGGAAGAGAGCTGAAGACGACGGAGAAGAAAGAACAGATTTTGAAGCAATAAACTGATTTCATGTGGTTCTAATCAGACTTGAGAGAACTGGAACTGAAGGTCATCCTTCTTCTCCACACTTCAAGAAGAAATGCTGCTTTAAGTAAGGCTCAGGCTGTTGACATTAACACCTTAGAAAATAGTATCACTTGGGAATCCAGGCATAAAAACAAAGTGCTGTGTCCTGTTAGCTGTGTAGCTTAAAGAGGACCTCATACCACCAAGAAACAAGAGCCAGGAGAATAGCGAGTCCTTTGGACCCAGGGTCCCTGCACTGAGAAGCTCCTAGACCCAGGAAGATTGATGACGAAGACCTTCCCCCAGAGCTGACAGAGAGAGAAAGCCTTCCCCTAAAGCTGGCACCCTGAATTCGAACTTCTAGCCTCCTAGACTGTGAGAGAATAAATTTGTTTGTTAAAGCCATCCACTTGTAGTATTTCTGTTATAGCAGCACTAGATAACTAAGACACCCAGGAATTGTTTAAAATATGAAAATTGGGCTTTAACTATTTGATAATGTTTAATTACAAACCCAGTAAAAGTGCTTAAGCTGAATGAGCTTTGTTGTCCAACTGGCATGTGACATAGATTATACATGGCATTGAGGGTAATTAACAAGGTTTATGGTATAGTGACCAGTTTTTGTCAGGAAATGATTTTAAAATTTTTTTTTACTTCCTAGAGGATTACTTTCTGATTCTAGACTTCTGTAAATTAAATCACGTATATTAAATGGAACATGGTAGACAGTTAATTAAGAAAATTGGTGTCAACGGGCATCTTCATTATGTGCACTGCTTATTAAATGGGCCTTTAGGGAAGCTGTTGAGGGGGAATATACATATTTTTTAATGTGGACTCCCCTTTGCCATATGATCTAAAAAGCAAAAAAAGTTGGTATGTAAATTTTTTGGAAAGCTCAGATATTTGTTTTCATGGTTATGTGTTACCTTTACCTATGAGAATTAATTTTTATCAACAAGGGATCTTCATTATAGTCATTAATTATTAAATGTGCCCCTTAGGGAATCTTTTGGGGGAAAACAAATTTTAAAAAAGGAGAGAGAGAAGACTCCTCCTTCCCTTAAGATATAAAGAAGAGTGGGAAAGTTTGCTATGTAACGTTCATTCATGGCTCTGTACTAACTAGGCTTTTAGTAAGGGAACATCTTTGTAAAGTGTTTAGAGATGATGTTGAGACAGTTGTGAAGTACCAGCAGGCTTACGACCGCTGCAGACCAACACTGGCATGTGTGACTGTGTCGCCAGACAAAAACATTACCAGGAAAATCAGAGCGGTAGGACACAGGGAAATGTGACTGTAGGGTTTATCTCGAATATACTGTTCAGTCCACCTGCAGGAGACAAAGCCGCCTTTGACTGATGGCTTTTGGGAACATTAGTGGGGTGGCGTTGGGGGGAAAGGGGGTGGGGAGTTGGGGATGAGGTAGAATCCCAAGTAACTAGTCTGGGTTACTGATTAACTGCTAATCTAAACCTGAGATGGCAAGCATATGATATTTTGGTAAATAAAGGGTGATCCTGAAATAACAGAGGTGGCTATCCATGCATCTCAGACCACTATCGCATAGGTATACTTGCTTTCTAATTACCAAAATCTCCAAAGTTTTATCTTACACCTCGGCGTTATGGCTTTCTGTTAGAAAGGATGAAATCTGCAATAGGAGGAAGACAGTGAATGCTGTATTTT